GACAGTGTAGCAGGGCCAGGAAGTGTGTTTAGCATCCAGGACAGTGTAGCAGGGCCAGGAAGTGTGTTTAGCATCCAGGACAGTGTAGCAGGGCCGGCAGACCCTCCCTGGGAGGAGGCCACCTGGCAGTGTCTGCATTTCAGGGAGGGGGGAGCGTGCGGGGTGCGTTCTCTTCCTGTGCCTTTTGAAGGATGCGAGAGGGAAGGAGAGGGGAGATTCTCCCCCGAGAATACACCAACCCGGCCATGAGAAGGTCCTGGGCCACGCATTAAAATAATTGCATGTGAGCTGGTGTTACTCACACCCTGTGGGGATCATGTCTTTGCTGCAAGAGATTTTGGTGCTTGCCAAGTGCTGAGAGAAATGAGAGAGAGAGATCCCTTCCTGCATCAGCAGGAAGGCTGATGGATGTGTATCTGACTCAGGAAACTTGACTTCCTCAACAGGGAGAAACTTGCACTAAGTAAAAATAAGGGCTGGCCTGTGGGTCCCCGGACAAACAAATCTTCACTCCTAGTGCACAAATCTGCCAGGCACTTTGGAGACACTGTGTCATTAAATCCCCCAAATAAGCCCATTTGGATGCCACTGTCCATTTTATGAAGATGGTCCCTGACTTGTTTGAATCTCACAGCTGGTAAGCGGCAGAGCTGAGACAGGAAGCCAGCTCTCAGCCCGAAACCCCAGGTTCCTTACTGCTATTGTGTAGGGCCTCAATGGGCTGAGCCCTTTGCAGATGAGGGCCGTGAGGCTTACAGAGGAGGAGGAGGCTTGCCTGAGATCACATGGTGAGTTTGGACCGGGTCAAGACTATGACGAGGACCCAGGTCTGTAGGTGCCCCCGACCCACTCCAGGCCACCCCTTATCCCTCCATATCTCATTCTGTTCTGTGCCCAGGCAGGGATCTGGGTCTGCCTATTGCCTCGGGGTAGATACTGGTGCTTGGTGTTCTAGAAAAAGCAGCAAAAGGTAAAGGAAGGTGGGGGAGAAGACGGTGGGATTGCCAGCAGGCCAAGGGGATTTGGGAAAACCCTTTGCAACCTGGCTGCCCTGGGACAGGGAAGCCCACTCAAAGGCTTATTCAAAGATCCTGGTGCTTGTCAAGTGCTGAGCCAGCAGGAAGGCTGAGGGATGTGCGTCTGGCTCAAAAAACTGGAGTCTCCCCAACAGGGAGAAACTTAATGTATATTCCGATTTACTTTTTTCTCCTTCCTGTGCTAGGCTCTAGAGAGGTAAATAATAGCTATGTTTACCTAATACCCACTATACACTAGACATCGGGCCATGGCTGGCGTATATGCGTGTGTGATGTTTTCGCATTCAATCCTCAAAACGACCTGGTAAGGTTGTTTCTATTATCCCCATTTTATAGACGATAATGCTGAAGCCAAGCCTAACTCAGGGTCATTCAACTAGTAAGGAACCAATCCTAATACAAAATCAGGTCTGTCTTGTGCCCAAATCTTTTTCTTTCTACCACATCATTTGTTCATTTGATACATATTAAAAGGAGCACTGAGCGTGTGCCAGGCACTGATAGGGGCCGTGAATGCAAAGATGGACACAAGGATCATGACTCTCTTTCTGGAACTTACAACTGTGAGAAAGAGCAGGATATAAAATAACTGTCCATTTTAAATTACAGGTGTGGTATGTCCTCTTAAGGAGATATTGTTAAAGAGAGGTTGTCAGTGATGGTTTCTGGGCAGGGCTACCTCAAGTATAAAGAAACCAAGGCCCAGAGGGAGAAAGTGACTTGCCCAGAGTCACACAGCAGAGAGGGAGAAGTCGTGCCCACATTCTGTCTCCCAGGGTACTGTTCCTTCCACTAAACCATATGCCTGCTTCGGAAAATCCGACTCAGGATTAGTATTGCTGATAATTTTGATCAGCGCTTGTCTACTAAGAAATGTCATTTCCTGGTCCCTTGAGGGACAGCATCACCCATCATTGCTGGCTTGGGGGCAGCAAGCTGGTGGTGTAGATGACATTTGCCGACAAGCTTTCACACACGAGATGGAGTGACACTGGAGAATGTGTCCTGAAATAGATTTTTGCAAGGAGCTGGTAAGTGCGTGTGAGTCTACCAAGGCTTGTGGAGAAAACCTATCATAACTTATTCCACTTGCTGAGGCACATTAGCCTGGCAATCATAATTATTATCAGGAGCTAACATATACGGGATGTTTGCTACGTGCCAAGCACTGCTCCGAAACTTCGCTGTGATAGCTCATTTAACACACTCATTCAAGGGTACGGGTGATGGTCTCCTTATCCCATCTTACAGATGGGGGAAGTCCAGCAAATCGCCCCAAGTTACATGGCTAGGAAGGGGGGGTGCGGTCAGGATTTGAACCCAAAGAGAGACATTAGGGATCTCTCTCTCTCATTTCTCTCATGTCGGTATCATTACATGACTCTATTCA